AAAAAAAAAAAAAAAAAGAATATAGACCTGACAAGAAAGATGACAAATATAAAAGAATAAGAGACAAAGAGGACAAAGTAAAAATCTTTGACATGTATGTATTTAATCAATAGTACCAGAAGAATAAGAGAGAAAAATAAGTGCAGAAAACCAAAGACAATGGAAAATCTCAAAAGTTGCCAGAGAAAAAAGAACATATCCTTGCAGGAGTGATAGACTTCCAACTGACTTATCAAAATCTACCATAAAATACAGAATATAGTGAGGACTGTCAATATTCTGAAAGACCTAACTGCCTACCAAGAAATCTATACCCAGCAAAATTATTCTTCAAGAATGATAGTGAAATGAGGGTATTTTAAGACAAAGAAAAGCTGAAAGAGATCATCACCATTCGTATGTAAAGGAAAATGATCTCAGAAGGGAAGTCTGGGAAGGAAAAAAGAAATGAGTGAACAGTGGTAAATAAATGGATAAATTTAAATGAACATCAACTGTATAAAAATAATATCTTGTGAGGTTTTTGAAAATATAGAGAATTGGGCAGCACCTGTGGCTCAGTGGGTAGGGTGTTGGCCCCATATACCGAGAGTGGCGGGTTTGAACCCGGCCCCAGCCGAACTGCAACAAAAAATAGCTGGGTGTTGTGGCAGATGCCTGTAGGTGCTCCTCACCTAAGCCCAGGAATTGGAAGTTGTTGTGAGCTGTGATGCCACAGCACTCTACCAAGGGTAATAAAGTGAGACTCTGTCTCTAAAAAAACCCCCTAAAACCTCATACATATATATAGAAAGAATTAAAATCATAATAATGATTACATATAAGTCAGGAGGGATTAAATGGAGTAAAGAACTCTAAATTTGGGAGGCACCTGTGGCTCAAGGAGTAGGGCGCCAGCCCCATATACCAGGGTGGTGGGTTCAAACCCAGCCCTGGCCAAAAACAAAACAAAACAAAACAAAAACCTGCAGAAGAACTCTAAATTCTTTGATTTCCTCAAGAGAAAAGTTAAAATATTAATTAATTAAAAAATGTACAAGTTAAGGAGACATATTGTTATTTTGGGAGTAATACTAAAAGTAGAGACAGTGTATACCTTATAAACTAATAGAAAAAATAGATGAGTAAACAATAATAAATCCAAAAGAAGAAAAAGAAGCAGAATATTCAGCCAACATAGAAAATCAAGAACAAAGGAAGTCAAAATATCACTCTTCAAGCAGAAAAACCTCACAGGTCACTAAGCATCCAAGGCAGTTCCTCCTGAAAGCAGAAAAGAGTTAGTTGACCAAATAGGGCTCTGGATTGAGATACCCTCATTTTCTCCCAAATCCCATTTCCCTGCTAAGTGGGGGGAAAAATACTCAATGAGCAAAATACTCACCATCTTCCTGGTGATTGTCACTTGGCATCTCCCTTCTTGCCACTTCCTGCATCTATAAAAAGTTTGACAATTTAGGTACCACATAGAAAGAAGTCCCTGGGCATTCAGAAGTGAGCTTATCAGCTTGGAATACTTTCCTATTAATAAGGAAAACCATCCTTGCTAGCAAGGGAGACAGACCTTTAAAGCAAACACCCAGGTTTAAGCCTGTTAAAAAACAGTTCCAATAAAAGGAGATTCCAGAATTGCCTTAATATCCTTAGAAGGTAAAGGACATACCAAACAGTGGAATACTGTATTTTCTGTACTTTAGATAGTTTATTATAAAACTTAGATGAGGTTACACTTTCCAACTTTGTTTTTTCTGTTTAAAGGATTTGTACTTATTTTATCTTCTAGAAAATCTATTGACCACAGTAGTTAATGGGAGGTTTTGGTTTTTTAAAAAATACTGGACACTTCATGAATTTGCTCATCATCCTTGCCCAGGGGCCATGCTAATGTTCTCGTATCATTCCAATTTTTGTATATGTGCTGCCAAAGAGAGCACACTAATGGGAGTTGTAATAGGCTTAAAATTAAGCTGCAGTGTAATGAGGCAAGGACTGCAGCAAAATGAAAAACCATCTAGCATTTGCTTTTTTTTGTTTTTTGTTTTTTGTTTTTTTTTAGAGACAGAGTTTCACTTTATCACCCTTGGTAGAGTGCTATAGCGTCACACAGCTTACAGGAACCTCAAACTCTTGGGCTCAAGCAATTCTTTTTTTTTTTTTTTTTTTGAGACAGAGCCTCAAGCTGTCCCCCTGGGCAGAGTGCCGTGGCGTTACAGCTCACAGCAACCTCCAACTCCTGGGCTCAAGCGAGTCTCCTGCCTCCGCCTCCCAAGTAGCTGGGACCACAGGCGCCCGCCACAACGCCTGGCTATTTTTTGGTTGCAGCCATCATTGTTGTTTGGCGGGCCCGGGCTGGGGATTCGAACCCACCACCTTAGGTGTACGTGGCTGGCACCTTAGCCGGTTGAGCTATAGGTGCCGAGCCGGCTCGAGCAATTCTTTTGCTCAGCCTCCCAAGTAGCTGGGACTATAGGCACCTGCCACAATGCCCAGCTATTTTTGGATGCAATTGTCATTGTTATTTAGCAGGCCCAGAACCTACCAGCCTTGGTGTACGCGGCCGGTGCCCTACTTACTGAGCTACAAGCACCAAGCCAAAATCTTAAAACCAGTTATAACAAGGCCAGGTGCAATGTGGCTCACACCTGTAATCCCAGCACTTGGGAGGCCAAGGTAGGTAGATTGCCTGAGTTCACAGGTTCAAGACCAGCCCGAGCCAGAGCAAGAGCTCACCTCTAAAAATAGCCAGGTGTTGTGGTGGGTGCCTGTAGTCCCAGCTACTTGGGAAGCTGATGCAAGAGAATCACTTGAGCCCAGGAGTTTGAGGTTGCTGTGAACTATGATGCCACAGCACTCAACCAAGGGGTGACAAAGTGAGACTCTGTCTCAAAAAATAAAAAAAGAAATAAAAAAATGAATTATAACAGTTGCACTCCTGTTTGAGGAACAAAATACCAGTATACAATATGTACTAAAGTTATATGTATAAATGTATGATATTTGATAATAGGTTAGTAGGGGAGAGCAAAAGGGGAGACTGAAACAAATGGAGACGGTACTTTCCATCCTGTCTGGTTCTTTCCTTTTTTAAAGGGCCTAAAATGCCTTCATCAAACATGTCCTCTTAGAACTTCATAAATAATTGAGAGTCTACTGAATTATTAGTATAAATCATCGACAACTCAACAGATCAGCAAGAGAGTAAATACCTTACCTGTGTACCTGGTGGGAAAGTGTCCAATTTCTGATCTGGTGTGTCATTGCCCTGGGTTGCAGAAGGACATGTTAGGGAATCTTTTATTTCCCGGTTGGGGAAGGAAATAAAAAGTCCTTTGTTTGAGTCTGTGTTAAAAGAAAAGGCATACAATGAAGCACTGATCAGATTTCAAAGGCAGCAAGTCTAATGGAAAGATACTGTAAGGGAAGTCACAAGATTGAGTGCCAGTTCTAGTGCCACCACTTGGAAACCCTGTGAACTTGGGCAAAACTCTTAACTTCTCTAAATCCCTCACTTTGTAAAATGGTGATGATAAAACCTAATCTGCTTTTCTCTAAGGGTGGAAGCCAGGTGAGAACAAGGTAATGAATATGAAATGGCTTCATAAATTATGAAATTCTCAATAGAATGAGAGGAAGAAAAACATTTTGCACATTTCCTAAGTGAATAAAACAATAAATGTTGATACCAATTCAACAATGTCCAGCTACCGGGGATAAGTTAGGAATAGACTAATCAGCAGTCAGCACTGATTCACCATATCAAACCAGCTTATTTCTGCCTTGATTTCCTCACTTGGAAAAAGAAAAATGAATCAGAACCTATTTCACAGAGAAGAGTAATAAGTCCTTAGGTCTTACAGTATTTTTTGCCTTTGACTAGGCATATGATTTACCTATGATTTTTGCCAATTTTAAAAATAAAAAGGAAAAACAAAAACTGTATCCTAGTCTTGGCCACCCTGGAAACTGATACCAAAAAGAGATAGTTGGAAATTCTATTAGATCGTCACACTTGTACAAAAATGTCCCACATTTTTGATCAATATACTTACTAATTATAGAATTCTGGGATTTGATGTCTTCTAGGGCAACTTGGATGAAAATAAGGGTTTTGCTTTGTGTAGGATTGTATAAGAATTAACATACTGTCAAAAGCTTGGGGCTTTGTTAAACAATGTACTCTTCTGCTCATTTTCATCTACTTGTATGGCAACAGAAAGCTACTTAAGCCAGGGCAACTGAGAATACAGAGCGAATGAACCAGTCTCTTGAGAATCTGCCCCTCAGTCTATTTAGGGCTCTAAGATGCTTCCTATTTCTGAATTGCCTTCTGGGACTGAAATGTCCTACTTGAACATGAGATGCTCTTCCAATCACTGGACTTGACAGAACTACTTTTCTCAAAGTGACATGACCTATTAAATTTTATGGTTCCTGTTGCGGTAGTATTATAGAAGAAACAAGATATAGCAGAAATGGCTGATTGTAACCTAAGTCTCTGTAAAAACCACCACCACTGTCTATCCCAGAAAGAAACCCCTTGGCTGTCATTCCCAGTTCTCCCCTTTCTGCCATCCCCTGGCAACCAGAATATACTTTATGTCTCTATGGAATGGCCTCTTCTAGATATTTCATATAAATGGAATCATACAATATGTGGTCTTTTTGTCTAGTTTCTTTCACGTAGCATGATGTCCTTAAGACACACATTGTAGCATGTATCAGTACTTCATTTCTTTTTATGGCTAAAATATGGATATAATTGGCCTTGCCCAGTAGATATGAGCTTTGCTGAGTTGCTCTCACCTCCACTATGGCAGAGACTGCTAGGTGCCTCTCCCTCATATTCATTATTCCACTTAGAAGCTCCCCCTATAACAGCCCTAGACTGCCAACATCTGGATTTCTATATGAGAGAGAAATTAACTTCTGTTTGAGTACTGGGGTCGGTGTTGGGGGGAGTCTCTGCTAAGCTGACCTGTATCCAACCAAAACTCCATCATGGAAAACCAAGAGACAAGAAGAATCAACAAGTTGAAATAGGATAAATTTCAGTGAGTTATGAAGACGACCTTGGCACATCTGCTATACAGGAACAAGCCACTGAGGGTGATTATGGAGAGTTTTTCTTTGTTATTTTATAATTAAGATATTCATTAAATTGGGGCTTCCCATATGGATTCCTGCCCGCCCGCCCCCCCCCACCCCGCTGCCAGAGGTTCTGTTTCCTCTCTTCTGTTCTCCCTGTCAATAAACTCTATCCTGTCGTTTAAAAAAAAATGCTCATTAAATCAGTACATTTTAGGTATGATTCTATTTATTTATTTATTTTGAGACAGCCTCAAGCTGCCCCCCTGGGTAGAGTGCCATGGCATCACAGCTCACAGCAACCTCCAACTCCTGGGCTCAAGCAAGTCTCCTGCCTCAGCCTCCCAAGTAGCTGGGACCACAGGAGCCTGCCACAACGCCCGGCTATTTTTGGTTGCAGCCATCATTGTTGTTTGGCGGGTCCGGGCTGGATTCGAACCTGCCACCTTAGGTGTATGTGGCTGGCGCCTTAGCCACTTGAGCCACAGATGCCAAGCCTGTATGATTTCGTTTAAAGGAAAAAAAAGAACTGGCTGAAAGAGTGGGCAGGGTCCCTTTCAACTCACAGAATCTCGGTGTGCTAAACATACGCATCTACCTACAGGATAACTGTAAATTATCTTTAGCACGGCTTTCATTGCTGTCCAGAATCTGACCTTCTACCCAACACAAACACTCCACCCAAACCACCCCATCATTCAGCTTTCTTTATGACCTGCCACGCTCATTACCACTTCCCTACAGCTGTTCACAACACTCCCAGCTGACCAAAATGTGCTACCTCTCCTTTCAGGCTATCCTGGAACTCTCCTGTAAGGTCCAGTGGTTTTAGTTCCTGTGCCACGAAGTCTAAGCCACTTTGCATAGCACCCTCTGAGCTGATGAGCATGTCACCAGCCACATCTGTGTTTCTCAAGCTCAATGTTCTAATAAACTCTGAGGATAGGAATCCAGTGTAAGAAACTAAACTTCGTATATACATATAGAAAGATATCCTAAAACAATTATACTGAAAGACAATTTGGCAGTTTCTTACAAAGCTTAACATACTCTTACCATACGATCCAGCAATCATGTTCTTCAGTAATCACCTACATGAGCTGAAAACTCACACCCACACAAAAACCTGCACATGGATGTTTATAACAGCTCTAGTCATCATTGCCAAAACTTGGAAGCAACCAAGATGTCCTGCAGTGGGTGTGTGGATGCATCCAGACTAAGGAATATTATTCAGTACTATGAAGAAATGAACTTTTAAGCCATGAAATGATGCAGAGGAACCGTAAGTATGCGTTACTAAGTGAAAGAAGGCGATCTGAAAAGGCAACATAGAGTGTAAGTCCAACTATCTGACATCCTGGAAAAGGCAAAACTGTGGAGACAGTAAAAAGGTACCTGGTTGTCAGGTGTTAGGAAAGATAAAAGAATGAACAGGGGAACACAGTGAATTCTTAGGGCAGTGAAAGTATTCTGTGTGGCACTAAAATGGTGGGCATATGTCTTTATAACTGATCAAACCCATAGAATGTACACGACCAAGAGTGAACCTCAATGTAAATGGTGGACTTGGAGAGAGAATTATGTGTCAATATAGTTTTATTATTTTGTAACAAATGTACCACTCTGGTGGAAGACGATGATAGTGGCGGAGGTTGTGTGTATATAGGCATGGTGTCTAAGGGAACTCTGTACTTTCTGCTGAATTTCTTTTTTTTTTGGCCGGGGCTGGGTTTGAACCCACCACCTCCGGCATATGGGGCCCGGTGCCCTACCCTTTTGAGCCACAGGCGCCGCCTACTTTCTGCTCAATTTCATCGTGAATCTAAAACTGTTGTAAAAACTAAAGTCTATTTTCTAAAAAACCCCAGATTATCACTGCAAAAGAGCTATTTTGCCTTTATATCTTTTCAATAGTTTTCTTAACTGCTATCAAACAAAACCACGAAATTAAAGTGTCTCAAACTGCCTGTGGACCTCTAGGAGGTCTGGAATTAGCCCTGGGTTTGAAGAATATTAATCTGTATCATTCCTTGGACATTTTTATATACACCATTTGGAAAAGTTACTTAGTTCTTTCATGTTTGTCTCAATCTTTCTTTCTTTCTTTCTTTCTTTCAGATAGAATCTCAAGCTGTTGCTCTTGGTAGAGTGCTGTGGTGTCATAGCTCACAGCAATCTCCAACTCAGGTTCAAGCAATCCTCTTGCCTCAGTTTTTCTATTTTTAGTAGAGACTGGGTCTCGCTTTTGCTCAGGCTGGTCTCGAACTCGTGAACTCGAGCTATCCACCTGCTCGGCCTTCCAGAGTACTAAGATTACAGGCAAAAGCCACCATGCCTGTCTCAATTTTTCTAATGATGCAGCAAGTGCTTCAGGGAATGTTTGCTTTTTCTATTTCCAGAGTATATGTTCCAGAAGATAAATTATATGAGTTTACAAAGAAAGGAAAAACCCTTTTGGTTGAGGAAACGAAAGTTTTTGCTAAAATAGATGGACTTTGAATGGGGTCATAAAGAAAGGATAGGATTTGATTAAAGTATTTGAAGCAAAGGTCCAGGGTACCAGAACACCCCATGCACAGTTGACTTTTGGCTTGTGTGTTTTATCTCCTCATTGTAACATCACTATGTGTTGCTGGAAAGAAGGAGAAAAGAAGGACTATTTGGGAGGAGAGAGAAGTCTGGCTTGACTGGACATTATAGCTGAGAAATGAGAGATAAGGTTTCAGGTCAGGCTGAAGAGATAAATTGTGCACAGAGCTTTAAGAGATAAATTGTATGTCAGGTGAAGGAGTTGAGACTTAATAGGCGAGTGGGGCTGTAGAATTTTTTTTTTTTTGAGACAGAGGCTCAAGCTGTCCCCTGGGTAGAGTGCTATGGCATCACAGCTCACAGCAACCTCCAACTCCTGGGCTCAAGCGAGTCTCCTGCCTCAGCCTCCCAAGTAGCTGGGACCACAGGCGCCCACCACAACACCAGCTATTTTTTGGTTGCAGCCGTCATTGTTGTTTGGCGGGCCCAGGTTGGATTCGAACCTGCCACCTTAGGTGTACGTGGCTGGCGCCTTAGCCACTTGAGCCACAGGCGCCGAGCTGGGCTGTAGAATTTTTTGAGAGGCAAGTGTAAGTAATTACCACAGCTATGTTTTAAGAGAATTAACCTGGCAGTTAATTACAAAATGAATTGAAGGAAGTAGAAACTGGGTGAGAGGACTTTGATGAGGACGGACCAGACTTTGCGTGCCAGATCTGCTACTTTATTACTAGAGCAAGTTATTTTACCTGTTTAGGTCTCAGTTTCCTCATTTGCAAAACCACCTTGTTGTGAGGATTAACTGAGTTAACGGACAGTGCCTGGCCCAGAGCTGATAGCTATTAAGTGTGCTTGTTAAGACTCTATTATGAAAGGGAAAGGGAAGTGCATCAACTGAGGAGAGTATGAACATTCAGCTGGGCTTTAGAGGAGCAGCAGTAGCAAACCCCAACAAGATTCCGGGCTAGGGTAATGGAAAAGTTGTGGGAGTACCAATGAAACCTATTCAGGGCTGTTGAGAGCTGGGGGAAACGGTTCATTTGTTTGTTTTCTTTTGGGGATCATTTTGGACATGTTTAGCTTGAGGGGCTGGAAAGTTAAACAGTGGTGATTCTAAGCATATCTTACTGGTTGGTCGACAGAAATAGGGGACTGCCTGTAATCCAAGCACTCTGGGAGGCAGAGGCCGGTGGATTGCTTGAGCTCAAGAATATGAGACCAGCCTGAGAAAGAGCAAGACCTCATCTCTAAAAATAGCCTCAGTGTTGTGGTGGGTGCCTGTAGTCTCAGCTACTTGGGAGACTGAGGCAAGAGAATCACTTGAGCCCAAGAGTTTGAAGTTGCTGTGAGCTATGATGAAGCAGAACTGTACCAAAGTTGGCAAAGTGAGATTCTGTCAAAAGAAAAGAAAAGAAGAGAAAAGACAAGAAAAGAAAGAAAGAAAGAAAGAAAAGAAAGAAAGTGGTGCCTCTGGCTCAGTGGACGGGGCGCCAGCCCCATATACCAAGGGTGGCAGGTTCAAACCTGGCCCGGCCAAACTGCAACAAAACAATAGCCGGGCATTGTGGTGGGTGCCTGTAGTCCCAGCTACTCTGGAGTCTGAGGCAAGGGGATCGCCTAAGCCCAGCAGTTGGAGGTTGCTGTGAGCTGTGTGAAGCCACGGCACTCTACTGTAGGTGATAAAGTGAAACTGTCTCTACAAAAAAGAAAGAAAGAAAGAGGGGAGTGGTGCAGAGAGAGACCAATACAGGCTGTCAAAGCTAGACCAACGTATTTAAGATGTGAGGAAGTAATATGAAATAAATATAAATCAATAATAAATTTACTTATTTGCAAATAAAGCTGTAAAACAGATGAGATCAGTAAGGGCAAGAGTAGAGAAAGACTTTATATCTTTCAGGAGGGCCTGAAGACAGAGCCTAGGTTTTGGGGATTTGGGAAGGGAGAAAGGAACCTTTAAAGACTTGAAGATTCTATGTTAGGAGAACAGGAGGAGGCTCCAAGAGAGTGGAAGTTCCCTGACCATTGGAAATTATTGGTGGGAAAACATTGTTTTGAACAACTGAGCTAGTGGGAGCTTTTCTCCAGAAAATTTTCTCTTAACCTATGTCATGGCACTAATGTGGCACAACTACTTTGATCATATTAGATTACCAATGGCACTTACAGGCAACACTCCCCAGAGATCAAGCACAAACACAATTTTCAGTGGAAAGCAAAGCTCTTTAACGTTTCAAGTAGCAAAATAGATTTTGTATTTTAAAAAAGCCAGGCAACAGCTGGAGCTTCGGAGAACCTTCAGAAATGGGCCCTTTATCTAGTAAAGTAGTTTGTTCTCAGAAGAGGGTGTGTGCTTTCAGGCATTTTAACTTGTGGAGTGAATCTTGTGTGTTGTGTTGATGTAATATGGCATAAATGAAGTCTAACTATGCTTCAAAAAAATGAGTCTATAAATGTAACTAGAAAAATAATAGTAGGTTGTATATCAAGAAATACCGTGTATCAAAGTATTAACTCTCTTTAAGGGCTGGGCTTATAAGTAATAAAAATGTTCTTCATGCTTTTCAGTGTTCTCCAAAATGATTACAATAAAATTACATCAATTTAAAAATATTTAAAATGCTATTTATTTATTTATTTATTTATTGTGAGACAGAATCTCACTATGTCACCATTAGTTGAGTGCTGTCGCATCACAGCTCACAGCAACCCCAAACTCTTGGACTTAAGTGATTCTGAGTAGCTGGGACTACAGGCACCCACCACAATTGCCTGACTACTTTTTGTTGCAGTTGTCATTGTTGTTTTAGCTAGCCTGAGCTGGGTTTGAACCTGCCAGCCTCAGTGTATGTGGTTGGCACTGCTACGGGTGCTGAGCCTAAAAATGCTATTTAAATGAAACAAAGCACTGGACATGGTGGCTCATGTCTGTAATCCCAGCTACTCTGGAGACTGAGCAGGGAGGAGCACCTGAGCCCTGGTTTCTCAGGCTGCAAAGAGGCATGATTGCACCATTGCACTCCAGCCTGTGAGCAAGGGCCACAGAGCAAGATCCTGTCTCTAAACAAATAAGTAAATAAATAGAAATAAAGCAACTTACACTCTCATCACTATATACACTGTGACACCAGGAAAGGAAAATTAAATCATACTTCACTATGGCTTATTTTACCACAAAGTACTGTCAAAATGACTTATCAATAAATGTTCACAGGCACAGATAAGAAGTCAAAAAAAAAAAACTGCATTATAAACTGAAAACCCTTAATGTCTAAACTACAAAGTCAATCTATTAAAGTGATTGCTGGCATTTTAGAAATTGATTTTTAGAGTTTGTGTATAATTCTTCAAAGAAATGGAGGCCTAGAGACAGAAGAAAGTTTTTTCAAGCAAAATGTTATCTGATGGGGCGGCGCCTGTGGCTCTAAGGAGTAGGGCGCCAGCCCCATATACCAGAGGTGGCAGGTTCAAACCCAGCCCCGGCCAAAAACTGCAAAAAAAAAAAAGAAAGAAAGAAAGAAAGAAAGAAAGAAAAAAAGAAAGAAAAGAAAGAAAAGGCAGAGCCTGTGGCTCAGTGAGTAGGGCGCTGTCCCCATATACCGAGGGTGACGGGTTTAAGCCTGGCCCCGGCCAAACTGCAACAAAAAATAGCTGGGTGTTGTGGTGGGCACCTCGGGAGGCTGAGGCAAGAGACTCGCTTAAGCCCAAGAGTTTGAGGTTGCTGTGAGCTGTGCTACGGTACTGTGCCAAGGGCAACAAAGTGAGACTCTGTCTCTAAAAAAAAAAAAAAATAAGGTTATCTGATTTATCTTATAGTGCAAGGCTAACCCACAAAGACACAATGAATGCAATTTCTCTGGTAGAAAGCTTTCTCTTAGCTTATGGCATGACTATTAATGTGGCATTAACACTTTATTTATATCAGCTTACCAATAGTGCTTATAGGAATATAGCAGAGACATTCCTCAGGAATACAGATAGCCCAAACACAAGAGAGACTGCAAAGGTTCTTGATGGGGGAGCCCAGGGGACCCAGGTTGTGAGGTGCATGGATGCAGATGAGTCATGAGTCTCTAACTAATGAAATCAACCACCAAAGCAATATTGGCCCAGGGTCCTGCTGGGTTGGGCAATATAATTTTCTGGGTACGTTTTCTGATGTAAAGTGATGTAAATGAAATTAACTCTCTGAGTACAGCTTGTCCTTTGATGGGATATGGGTTCGGTTTGCTCGGTAAGGTCCTTCTGGCAATGAGAGGAGGAAGGAGAAAAAATACAGCCAGTAAATCTTATGAGTGCTTCAAATTTGCTCTTTCTCAGCTATTTTGTCTTCGTCCTACCCCAGATTGGCTGTGACAGCTGAGACAACTGATATTTTAATCATTTTATGATCACAGAGAGAAAACTTACCTGCTTCAATCCTGGTGTCAACATCAGCATTGACTTTTGATGCAGAACTTTCATCTGTCACACAGGTTTTCATTGCCTTCTCCCTAGAGCTGCCACATAGAATAATTCATTTAAAACTCAAAAGAAGGCTTCTGAGATCACCAGTAAATGCTGTTTAGAAAACAGCTCATGGTGATCACATTTCTTCTTCAAAGGCTCTAAAATATACTAATTCAATTACATTCACATATATTTCAGTTAAACCCATACTTTTTAAAAAGTCAATATTTATACTAGGAAATATATGAGAAGGACACTATAGTTCAGCCTTTAAAGTATAAAAACTATAAAATTCAGAACTTATTCTGTTTCTGACATAAGGTCTGAGGTAGTAAGAAATTTTCTTTTGTTAGAACATTCATAGTTAGCACAAAGAAGGAAAGGTTCTGCTGCCAAGAATTACGGCACAAACGATAGCCATTAGTTGAAAAAACAGACAAGAGGCTGGGCGTGGTGGCTCATGCCTATAATCCTAGCACTCTGGGAAGCCAAGGCCAGAAGATTGCATGAGGTCAGGAGTTTGAGACCAACCTGAACAAGCATGAGACACAGACACACACCTCTCAATCTCTACCAAAAATAAACAAAAATTAACCAAGTGTGGTGGCACACGCCTGCAGTCCCAGCTACTTGGGAGGCTGAGGCAGGAAGATCACTTAAATCTAGGAGTTTGAGGCTCAGTGTCTGTGGCTCAAGTGGCTAAGGTGCCAGCCACATACACCTAAGGTGGTGGGTTCAAATCCAGCCCAGGCCCGCCAAAACAACATAAGAAAAAAGTACTAATAGATACATTTGTATATGTCTATAGCACACAAATGATTAGAAGGATATACACCAAACATTACTAGTAGTTAACCCTTAGTAGTAGGAGATAGAGTGAATTTATGACTTCTTTCCGTGTGCTTTATGTAATATTTAAATTGTAATGGACTCCTATCTATTTTTCAAAAATAATAAAGCTATTTTTGAAAGCATGAGTTTGAGGGTATAATAAAATGGTACTTTCTTGGACAGTGCCTGTGGCTCAAGGAGTAGGGTGCCGGCCCCATATACCAGAGATGGTGGGTTTAAACCCATCCCCAGCCAAAAAACTATAAAAAACCAAAAAGGCACTTTCTTTAAATAAGATGTTTACTTTTTGTCTTGTAGAGAAATGTTTCCTTTCTCGTCCTTTAACAAATTTGTCTCTGACAATCTTGCCTATAGTAATATAACCCTCCTAATTCAATAGAAAAAGACCATGAGCTGATTGATGGCCAAGAAAGTGTTGGTAAGCCCGAGAGGGCTGAGTTATCTCATACTATCCTTATGGATAAACTGTAAAAATCAGCTTTTGAGAATTTACAACAATTATATCCAGACCCAGTAGTCCAAGAAATCAGGAAACTACCCACTGAGGGCCAGTTTCTCATCCCAGATAAATCTATGTGTGGGATACTTTTTCCCCTAATCTGAGGATTTTTATAACTTATAGAAGATTTCTGCTGAAAAATGAAGTTAAGCAGGAATTCACTATGATCTCTGTCCAGAACCAAACTCAAATTTTTTTGTAAGGAATCCTCTTACCTTTTATCCACCTCTAAAAGAAAATTTTCACTGTTGCCCAACTGACTAAAATGCAGCTTGGCAGCTTTTCTCTCACTTTCACGTACAGTTCGGTCATCTGGAGGCAAAAACCGTGGTCTGAGCATGTTTCTTTTTTGGAGTAACTGGTAGTGGGTCAGAAAATCATATTCACAGAGGAAAAACCAAAGACCAGTCTCATCTTTGTGTGTTAGAGACAGCTCACAAAATAATGCTATTATGTTGTCACTGGAGCAAGCAGTAACTAGGGGAGACTACCAGGAACCATAGCAACAACTGCCACACAGGTGTAACTATAGCAGGAATAGCAGAACTTAGAAACTACACGACCCAATGGCTGAAAGAGTTTACTTAGTTTCCCTATAATGACTTTCTGGGGCCCATGTGAAATCTACTTTTGTATCAGTAAGAAATGTATATTCGACGATACAATTACAAGGAAATACAGATCAGCTCATTTAAAGGAATGTTTCTTGTTCCTTGCCAGCAACCCCCCCCCCAATGGTTGTGTTAGTTTTCTAGTGCTAATAAAGTTGCAGAGTTGGGGCACCTGGAAAAATAATTCTCAATCTGGAAATTTTGTGTTGAGGAGGAAGTCGTGGTGAAACCATCAACTGAAGAAAAACTAAAGCTGGAAGTAACTGATAAAATCATAGATTGTCATTCAATGAACAATCAAAGGACTCGTCATACATCCTGCCAACCAAAAGAGCTACATAAATATTGACTAATAAACAAATATATCCTGCCAGTGCATACTCTGGGCCAACATCCAAAAAGTTAAGAGGCAGCTGATTTAAAGTAAGATTCTGGGGAAAGGAACAGAGGAGGAGGGTCTCACCCAGTTTCTCCAGAGTTTGTAGCGTGTATACAGCAAAGAGTCTGTAATCTGTATCTTTCCTGACAACAGGATTAAGTCTCAAATCTAGTTCTTTGAGGAAGGGTAAAGGCTGTAGACGGGACACTTCCACTAATGAAGGAATGTTGTTATAATATAAATTCAGGTCTTGGAGGGAGCATAAATACTGGATGCCCTGCAAGGAAAAAAAAATCACATTATGAAACTGTATCTCAGTAAGGACTAGGAACCTCACAGATAAAGATGGAAATATACTTTTTACTTTTCATCCTGAAACATGTTACCCAAGGTCCCCATGAGTAAGGTGGGGCTAGAACTGACAAAATCATAGGCACTAGTGTTCTATATATTAAATAGATAGATTCATAACACATTTCCTCCTTTACAAAATATGACCTCCGTCTATCAGTCAGTTCTCGGCATCTCTTAGCTCCCTAATCATTCTCCTGATCTAATCCAATCTTTTGCAGTGGTAGCCAGACCAAGGCACTTTAGTATTCTCTCACCCTGGCCACAACCACTCTTCTGATCTCAATGTACAAAAGGAAGGGAGGGAGGCAGAAGAGCTGGTTTTGGGGGGAAAGAGCATGATTCAAAAAAAAGAACAAGTGTTTGTGTGTGTGTGTGTGTGTGTGTGTGTGTGTGATAGTGTGTCTTTATATCTCAATGCTTTACTTACAGTGTCAAAGTACTATGTGGGGAAACAAAACCATGCTATCTCAAGACTTCCCTCTTGGACCAGACGAGGACCTCACCTGTCCTTGTTTCCCTCTTCAGAGTTACTGCCACCATGTAAACTCCCCATCCAGTCAGTTGTTGGTTGAAATGTTCCTCTTCATTCAGTTCTCTTTCTGTGGACTTAGTAACCCCACCCCTGTACCTAACTGGCAACAGTACAATCAGGACTAGGAAACTTGAGAGGAAAAGCCTCAATGTTCCTCCCCTGATGAAACCTGCTATTGAAAAAATTTAGTTACCTTTCATACATTTAGCCAGTTTGCTTTTGCTCAACACTAGCTTTTAGGACAATTTAAAAACATCCATGCTTATGTATAACCACATACTTTTTTTTTTTGAGACAGGGTCTGGCTTTGTTGCCCAGGTTAGAGAGCAGTAGCATCACTGCTGCAACCTCCAACTCCTGGGCTCAAGTGGTCCTCCTGTCTCAGCCTTCCAAGCAGCTGAGATGAAAGGTGCATATCACCATTCTCACCTACTTTTTAAAAAATGTTTTGCAGAGACTATGTTACCCAGGCTGGTCTCAAATTCCTGGCCTCAAGCCACCCTCCTGGCTTCCCAAAGCACTGGGATTGCTGTGTAAGCTGCTGCTCCTGGCCCACCTCTATATTGTTCATGACTCAGGAATAGTTATCAGTGCCTTTAGCCCCACTCTCAGCACTGTAGACCATTAGGACAGTCTTTAATATATCTAATGGCCAGCTCAAGTAATCTTTCAGTGTCTCTCATTGTAAAAATCAAGCAAACAGGTTCTAGCCTCTCATTTTTCCCAGCTGGCATGAATTCATGTATTCCCCCAAATTTACACTAAAAATAATCACAAAACATTTTCTCCAAGGAAAAATTTAAGCAAAGTGATTCAGAATTGATAGAGATAAATATATGCAGTTAAATCATATACATGCAAAAAATATATATAGAATGTTAACATTTACTGAGTGTTTCCTATACACACACACTCTTATATGTTATTTTGATTACATGTTAATTTTTTTTTGTTTTGAGACAGAGTCTCTGTTGCCTTCAGTAGAGTGCTGTGATATCGCAGCTCACAGCAACTTCAAACTCTTGTGCTTAAGCGATTCTCTTGCCTTAGCTGCCTAAGTAGCTGAGACTACAGGCACCTGCCAAAGTGTCTAGCCATTTTTTTAGAGATGGGGGGTCTCACTCTAGCTCAGGCTGGTCTCGAACATGTGAGCTCAAGCAATCCACCTGCCTTGACCCAGGGGTTAGGATTACAGACGTGAGCCACTGCACCCAGCCTACATTATGTTAATTTGATTTATCTGCACAGTAGGGTTTTTTTGCCCAATTTATAGAAATAGAAAGAAAGTACAAAACCAAATTACAATAATGTCCACTTAATTTTTTAGCCTGAAAAGGAATAAACAAATATACAAATGAAAAGAGGAGCGCTGAGTAACTTTGAACTAGTACTTTCTGAAACTGATTGGTCAAATATAAATGATTGCTACAAAATAGACTAAAGACCTAGTTCAGGCTCGGCGCCTGTGGCTCAAGCGGCTAAGGCGCCAGCCACATACACCTAAGGTGGTGGGTTCGAATACCCAGCCCGGGCC